GCGGCTGCCGCCGGGAAACGGGTTGGGGGGGTGGGTGCCGTGTCCGGCGGGGCCCTACTCTGACCCACCGCCCCCTTGTGGCCGCGTAGGGAATAGCAGGGCCGCGCGCCCCCTTGTGCGACATGTGCTGCCGGCCCGGGCTCCATGAGCGTGGCGGGCACTTTGCAGTCTCGGGTGCTCCTGCCCCTTTTTCTGTTCTTAAGAGAGACCAAAGGGCACGGAAACCGGAGGAAGCAGGCTCGCTTCTGCAATATCACTAAAAGGAAAAATGATCATAGGGCTATCTCGACCACATCTGTTGGGGAAACAACTCTTTATCCCGGCTTGCAGCCACGAGGTCTTGATTGGGGGAGGGGTGGTGAAGAATAGTCCCTTTGCTGCTGCTTTTCCCTCACTGGAGCTGTACAGTAGAGTTAAAGATTGCTGTTGGTCATTTCTCGAGTATTTCAGAATCTTTTAAAATAAGACAAGAATCTAACGCCCGCGGATTTTTCAACTTTATTCTTTTACACCTTTTCACCCGCATATTGTTGGTCTCTTAAACCCGCCAGTAATGCCTGACTGCATTATCCTCAGTTTTGCAAACGGATGTAATTAATGGATATACTGGAGTTGGGAAAGAACAAATTTGAAATATGGATTTAAGGGTGGTAGTTAATTTTGAGCAAATATTTGTCTTTTTTCCTATCTTCCCCTCCCCCTTCCAGTCACACACGTGGACCTAACTGCACCAAAAGCTTTTCTAAGGATACTTGCTGAGAAGAAAGTTTTCCCAAGTGGGTAAGTGTATTTTAATTTTCTATGTTCATTCACTTTTTAAAAAAACAAATTTCTTTCGACTTTAATCTTTGATTTTAATAAATAAGATGGGATTGGGTTTTCAACGAGTGAGATACGTATTTTTGTACTCTATCCAATTACCTTTTCTAGAAAATTAACTTACTGTGGGTTAACTAATATGTAAGTTAGTAAAAATAATGCAGATATCTTTATATATCTTTGCGAACTGATGCAGTTTACAAAATTTAGAACTGCTTTAAGGTGGGTGATGGATCTAATCTGGAGTAAATTTTCATGGCTTAAAATAATTTAACTGGGACATTTAAGTTCTACAGCCAGCTGATACACTTGAAATGTAGTCTGAACAGTAATTTTATTAATCAATTTACCAAGTAATTGCTAATTGGAGGCCGGAAGAAAAGAAAAATGTTTTGCCACGTGGATGTGAAGATTTCCTCTAAAAGGTATATGAGTCAAATTGTCCTGTTGCTGTATTAATTTGCATTCATAAACAGTCTGATTTTGATTTTTTTATGCCTTTGGAAAAAGCCAAGTAAAGGAAGAGCCAGCACTTTCTCTTACAGTATTGGAGTGATGTGTTAGTTGTGATTGTCTTGTGGGGGAAATAAAACTTATAAATTTAAGGTCTAAATGTGCTTTTAAATGGAACTTGCGGATTTGAGATTCATTTTCTTCCCCATTAGGGTTTATGCTGACTTTTGTATGTTTTCTGTTAAGAGCTTGAGGTGTTATTTTATCTAATTATTTATTTCAAATTTAGCAGGAATAAAGAGAACATCACCTTGTAAAACTGAAGATTGTGACCAGTCAGAATAATGTCAAAGTGCTTACAGTGCAGGTAGTGATATGTGCATCTACTGCAGTGAAGGCACTTGTAGCATTATGGTGACAGCTGCCTCGGGGAGCCAAGGTGGGCTTGAAAGCGCAGGGCCTGCTGACGTTCAGTGCTTTTTGTTCTAAGGTGCATCTAGTGCAGATAGTGAAGTAGATTAGCATCTACTGCCCTAAGTGCTCCTTCTGGCATAAGAAGTTATGTTTTCATCCAATAATCCAAGCCAAGCAAGTATATAGGTGTTGTAATACTTTTTGTTTGCAGTTCTCTGTTAGTTTTGCATAGTTGCACTACAAGAAGAATGTAGTTGTGCAAATCTATGCAAAACTGATGGTGGCCTGCTATTTCCTTCAAGTGATTTTTACTAATCTTGTGTACTTTTATTGTGTCGATGTAGAATCTGCCTGGTGTGTGTGATGTGACAGCTTGTGTAGCACTAAAGTGCTTATAGTGCAGGTAGTGTGCAGTGATCTACTGCATTATGAGCACTTGAAGTACTGCTAGCTGTAGAACTGCAGCCTCGGCCTGTCGCCCAGTCAGACTGACCAGTTACTGAGCACTGTTCTATGGTTAGTTTTGCAGGTTTGCATCCAGCTGTGTGATATTCTGCTGTGCAAATCCATGCAAAACTGACTGTGGTAGTGAAAAGTCTGTAGAAAAGTAAGGGAAAATCAA